ACAAGCTACAATGTACGTGGATTCGATCAACGTAAAATTCACTTAACGCCATTTCAAAAAGTCTGAATATCTCCTGATTTACCTTGTAATGATTCATTGAAGTCACCAGCTAGAAGCGACATGACGATTGTATTTAAGCATGAAACAGACTGTTGCCTCTGGGTGTTAACTTCAATGTCCACTTTTATATTTACATACGCTCTGTCCTTGATATTGAGCACTTTTACCCATAAATATAGCATGCCTTAAAACTATATTTGATTGTATATATATATATATATATATATATATATATATATATATATATATATATATATAACATTATATTTTATATTTTATGTATATATATATATATATATATATATATATATATATATATATATATATATGTGATGTTTTACGACAAATTTTTTTGTACGACAACAGTTTTTATAACTTAGAAATAAATATGAAACCCATGAGATAAAAATATTTGTTTGTACGGAAAGTAAGGACTTACGTACATCAAACTGTCTTTTTATTAAGTGGCGGCAGAAGAATTATCGTTGAACTTTTAAATGGTAATCTTAAATATGAATGCAATAATTAAATGCGGCGATCAATTTTAAGTTCTTCTGTAGTTCATTGTTGCCTATCACATCTACTCCTCCATACTTATTGTGATGAAAACCCAATCAAGAGCCGGCCTCAGGAGCTAGCTTGAATGCCACCCGATAAGGCAGCTTTTAAGCTGATGATATATATATATATATATATATATATATATATATATATATATATATGCATGTTTGAAACTAGCACACACACACACACACACACGCACACACACACACACACACACATATATATATATATATATGCATGTTTGAAAACTAGCACACACACACACATATATATATATATATATATATATATATATATATATATATATATATATATATATATATATATATATATGCATTTTTGAAAGCTAACATATGTGTACTTTATGAAAGATAATCGTCTTCAAAAGACGTTTCTGTAAAGTAGCCTTTGGCCGATGGAGAAATAACGATTTGCTAAAAATATAGAGGGACTCCTTAAAAAGAATCCCCATATTATCGGTGGCAAAGAGAAGCAGTCAAAATGGACGAAATAGAAATGTAAAATCTATTACAGCTGATTATTCCCTCGTAGAATCAAGAGCGAAAGAAGCGACGGCTCTGTAAGATTGGGACCACCGCCGGGTGGTTGGTGACAGGTCCTCACCAGCAGCTGACTAGATAAAGCAAGTATCTTTCGTATGAGTTTCGTTTACTATCTGAGGGTCTGCAAGTATTATGTCGTAAAAAAGTATGACACGAAGCTCACACGTGGGGTTACGATACTTGCAAAACCAAAAAAATAAAAAATGACATGATACTTACGTTCGAAAATCACGAAGGAAACAAAATGTATGCCTGAAGGCATAACCCTATCAATGTACACTATTTGAATTATTCGAACTATTGTCCTCATCTTTGTTGCCATATTTATCACAACGTTTCGGCCGTTGTACGCTCCGACCTTCTTCAGTTAGTTGGAATGTCGAACTGAACCCTTTATTTCGCTCGCTGGGGTAGACTGTTCTAGTTCCACGTGCCATGTCTAATGGATATCAGTTAGCAATTATCTCCTGTTAATTCAACTCTCCAATTTCTCCACCGCCTTAACCAGGTATTGAACTGACAACTCTTTGGGTCCTATCACTGGATCTAATTAACGCCTTTATCCACTGTGCCATGTATCCTTAAGGACATGTGTCCTTGAGAACAATAGTCCGAATAATTTAAATAGTGTACATAATACCTCATCTCAGAAATATAGACAGATATCTATCAATGTAATTGTAACGAATGAATGGGTCATAGATGCAATTAGCTAGGTATAAGAAAGCTAGTGATGACCAACCTTGATCCGTCTCCCTGCTATTTTTCGCCTTTTGCCATAATTAATGTATCAGGAATAAATCTGTGATATAACCCTATCAACTCACAAAACATTTTAGAAATGGTTTTAGAAAGTTGAAAATGATCAAAAAATATTGAATCATTTATATTCAATCCCCCCCCACCAAAAAATGTTCAAACTAATTAAATATTAAATAAAAATAAATTTCGTTGGTTTTCAACCAAATCTTTGTATGTGTGTATGTGTGTGTGCGCGCGCGTGCGCGTGCGTAGTGTTAGTCTGTCTATGATTTATACATATGCATGAACAGTATCAACAGTTTCAAGTCAACATGTCAAATCTGAAATAAAAAATTCTTTTCTTCATTTTACGAATTACAAAAGATTGAATAAATTAAACCGTCACAAAATAACTTTCTTAACCGGAATAAATAAATTATTACGAAACCTGGATTGACTGCTTCATAAAAAGAGAATAGTATCTTAATGTTCAAATTTAAAAAAAAAATGACTTGAAAAAACAAATTAAATAAAAAAGTGTCTATTTAATACTAATACTACTACTACTACTACTACTACTAATAATAATAATAATAATAATAATAATAATGGAGGGTACAAAAGTCGGTAGCGTTTCAAATTGAATTTCAAAGGCAATATTTCATATTTCCATCGATTCAACCAAATATATGCTTCGTCCTGGGTAAGACGATAAACTACATCCAGCAGCAAGGCCTCTGATCAGGCGGTTTTGAGGAACGTGGAACCACCTCTTAATTGCTGGTGTATCCAGGTCCACCCTGACTCGGGGTGGTAGCACCTGTTAGGGTCCCAGCTATGGGCAAATAGTTAACTATTACCAGCAATACTTTTTTGAAAAAAAATTATTACCAGCAATACAATTTTGAAGGAAAAATATTACCAGAAACAGATTTTTGACAAAACAAAATATTACCAGCAATAAAAAATGTTGTTGGCATTAAATAACCCATCGAGGTTGATATACCGTAAAACAAAATAAACCAAACCAAATATATGCTAATTTGTTTCATCACTTTTCACTGCCATCGAAGCTATCCGAATTTCTGGCGGATCAGCAAAGAGACGTGAGGTCTGATATGAAAACGGTACCATACCGTTCTGGGCGTTTTCATCGATTTCTACCTTCAATTGGTTCAACTGAGGACAGTTCTTGCCTGAATCTAATTTTGAGGAAGAAGTTCGAAATACACAATGCCCTTCCAATCTCGCCGGATTAATTTCTTCGGATGCAGATCGGCTTTTGGAGTGGTTAGCGATGGCACATTTTATTTTCCCAATAACTTTTTTTGCTCTAAAATCTTGTAAACCACCTATTTTTAATTGCCTGATATCATTCATTTAAAAAAAAATCGCAGGTGCATTTCATTATTTTTCCCGCCAATTCAGGTAATCACCCGTTTCCAAATACCTTGCAATACTCATTCGTGATATGTGGAGTATCTCTGCGATCTCACGTACCACGTGATCAAGATTTATCAACGTTTCGATTTGGCCATCATCAACGACTGCAGGCCTGCTAGAAGTACTCGGTCTTGCAGAACAAAATGTCCACTTCTGATTCTGGCGGTTCAATTACGAATAATATTCTAATCGAACTCACCATCTCTATAAACGACATTTTATATTTTTGCTGTTTGTATTGAGATTTTTTGCTTTTGTCAAAAAGAACATCAAATGAAAACAAATGTATCTTATTTACCTCCATTTTCACTTTTAACGTAAAAAAATATTTAAATTCGCAATGCACAGGCAAATTTTATACAAAGACGACGTTCAAATGCCATCTTTCAGAACATATAATAAAATTCAGTCCCGTATGGAACGAAATCACGCGCGCAAACGTGAATTATTGGAGAACGCTCTGAACCTTTGCTCAAACCCGATATAACCATTTTCTTTATTATTATTTTTTGGCGTCCTGGGTATGACGATAAACTACGTTCAACAGCAAGGCCTCTGATAATACGTTTTTGAAAAAAATAATGTTGCCAGGTGTACGTTTTTGAAAAAAATATAATATTACCAGCTATACGTTTTTGAAAAAATAATATTACCAGCTATACGTTTTTGAAAAAATAATATTACCGGCTATATATTTTTGAGAAAAAATATTAATAAAAATGAATTTTTGACAAAACAAAAATATTACCAGGAAAAAAAATTGTCAGCATTAAATGACCCATTGAGGTGTTGATATACCGTAAAATCAAACATTATTTTTTGCGTTTTATCCCA